CCATGGCCCTCAGGGGAGGCTGTGGGTGAGCTGTGCCTTTGCTCCGCCAGACGGGCTGGGACACGTCAGAAAGTGAGCTGAGCGAGGGTGAGCTGGAAAGGCGGCGGCGGACACTCCTGCAGCAGCTGGATGACCACCAGTGACCCGACAAGCTGCTCTGCCTCGGGTCTGTGTGAGGCTGTGGCTCCTAGGTCATCCCTATCATCTGCCACAGACTCCTTCCTTAGTCTGGTCTGTGTCCACTTTTCTTCAAGTAACCCCACCCTCAACACACCATTGCCGGTACCCCTCAAGGTTACTCGTGGTGTTCAAGGGTCCCCCACTCCCCGGACAACTAGTGCAGTCCTTGCCCTCAGCCCCAAACCAGAGATTGATGGTGTATACCATGTGGGGTGGGTGTTGCCAGTAGCTAAAATGTGAGAAGGGGCCTCCAGGGAAAAGTGACAGGCTGGTGGACAGCCTGGGTGGCAGAGGGCGGGGTCCTTACCCTCTAGCATCAGTGCCTGCTCCTGCCTGCCTGGGCCCTAGGGCTCCACCACTCCTTTCTCTAGCCCTGGGACCCATTGTATGTGTGTTTTGTTTTGTTTTTGTTTTTTAAATAACAATATTTATAACGTGGCCAGTGGCTCTTTTGTTTTCGCCATATGCTACTGGAGCAGGCTGGGTACTTGCCAGGCACACACATGCCCAGCAGAGGGCACCAGTGTCTCATGGGAGGCCTTCCTCCCTTTATGTGGTTGAAGCCCACCCAGCCTGGTTCCCCTCCTTGGGCTTCTGTGCCCACCTCCCCCAAGCAGATGGCAACTCTGCCCAGCCTTTCTATCTCTGTGGCTCAGGTCAGGCTAAATGGCCACCCTAGCCCTCCACATTCAGAAAGAGGAGACAGGCCTGGTGCTTCAAGCCTTTGTTGAGAGAAAGAAGGGCTAGGGTTTATATACAAGAGAGAAGGGAGGTGGTACATGTACAAAAAAGAGTGGGCCCCTGAATTCCCTTCCAGAGGCTAAGCGACTGGCAGGGGACTGAAAAAATAGCCAGTTAAGCCCCCCATGCTCCCGGCCCCTGCCAGAAAAAAACCTTAGCAGAGGAAAGGAGATAAAGATGCTGTTGGCACACCCTTTCTCTAGGTGTCTTAGAGCTGGGGCAGAGAAAACTCTTCTGCCCACCTCAGCAAGGACAGGGTCAGCCTGGAATGGAAAGGGCCAGGGCCAAGAGCAGTGGGCATGGCATCTCTCCTCTACCTTATCACTATGGCACAGCTGAGCAGGGCCCCAGGGCTCCCCAAGCCTGGACTCTTCTAGATCACAGCTGATCATAGGCTGTGAAAAGGAAGAGAAAAAAAAGAAGGGATAGTTACTTTCTCCTCTTATGCCTCTGGCTCTAATGACAAAGGGGCCTGGGTGCCCCTGTAGGCTAAAGCTGGAAATGGTTTTTTCCAGCCCAGCTGACCTGACCCTTGCTAACGCTTCAGGAAATAAAGTTGAAGACCTTGGGGGCAAAGTGCAGTATTGGAGGCACCAGGGCCATGCCGGTCTAGTGCCCACAGTGGCAGCGGGCAGGCAAGATGCAGCTTTGAGACCTGGGATGGACACTGGGTCTGGAGCAGCACAGCCCTCCCCTGGGCCCTCAGCCGATTCCAGGGCTCCATGTCCACTGGTTGGACTTGCAGGAGGACTTTGAGGGTTGAAGTGCTTCTGCCTCCTAGAGGGTCTCAGCGGGGGCCTGGAGCCCGAGGGGGGCCACTGGGTGGTGCGGTACTCCTGTCTTGGTGGCGAACAAATATGGGCTGGTGGTGGAGGCCTGTGGGGGAGACAGAGGCCCATGAATGCAGGGCAGCCAGGCCAGGCACACCCTCTAGGACAGCCCCTTCAGGAGCAGCCCATAGGCAGGGCCAGAAAAGAGCCAGCCATAAGGCTGATAAGGGAGAAGCTTAAAGAGAACCTGGAGAGGATGGTCAGGGAGAGGACTGGGACTCTGTATTTTCAGAGGATCAGGTGGGGTGACTAGAGGCCACTGGGCAGTGGCAGAAACAAAGTAGACTCAGCAAGAGCCAGAAGCTAGGAAGAGACCCCAGGCAGACTGGATATTGGGAAAACAGAAGTCAAGGGACATTGGATGATCCTGGGCAGAAGCTACTGCCAGAGCTCTTATGAGGAGGGACCCCAAGGGGGAAGCAAAGACAAAGGACTCCCAAGCGAAGGAACAGAGCCTCAGGCTCAGTCATCAGAGACAGTGGCCTGGTCCTGCCTGCTCTGGGAACTCTCTACACATTGGTCTTAGTAGAAGCTAGGACAGCATTAGTGGGAGAGATACCACTTCCCCAAGGGTACATGCAGGACATAAGCCATGCTTCTCAGAGCATGGGGCATGCAGGGAGGGAAGTATATGTCCCCATCACCATGAGGTGGCCAGAGGATGGTGCCAAGACATGCAGAGGAAGAGGTGCCTTTGGGCCCCAGCAGGAGTCCTGGGAGGTGGGCATGCAGACTGGCACCTATAGTGCCCAGTACCTGTCAAAGGCCTCAGCCTTGGGGGTTAACAGTTTGACTCATCATGGTGGGCTGCATCGCAGAAGAAGCGTGAGCCCCGCTTGGCAGTACGGGCCGTGAAAGGGACACTCTTCAGCACTGTGGCCCAGGAGAGAGACACTGTGGTCAGGCCCCATGGGGGTGGGGTAGAGGAGAGCCCAGGGGATATGGTGGGGTTTTGGGAGCTGGGCCCAGTATCCAGGGAGGAAGAGGGCCCCACCTGTGATGATGTCCTCAATGGTACCATCCTTCCCCTCGTACACAGGCCGGTGCTCCTTGGCCTGGCGCCGCCTCAACTCTGCAATTAGCTCCTGCTGTTGCCACTTGTTCCGCTGGGATGGGGTCTAGGGCCGAACATTTGAAGGGAAGGAAGTCACCACTAACCTACCATGGGGCTGGTTCCTGCCCCAAGATGCAGTCTGAGGGTGTCCTTAATTGTGCATGGCAGCCCAGCCTCTATCCTTGCCTGGGAATTCTCTCCCAAAGCACCTCTCCCCATCCCTTTGGACGCCAGCCCCAGGCCCTTTGGGTGGTCTGTGGGCTCCAGTTTTCTATCTCCTCTCCCCCTTCATTTGCTCCACCCCCTCCCAATTCTCCACCCGTTATCCAGGCCCCTGCTCTTGGTCCCACCCACCTTGGCATCCAGTTTCTTGGCTTCCTGAGCCAGCTGCTTCTCCCGCATTACCTCCTCCTGCTTCTTGCGGGCTTCATTCTCTTGTTCTGCTTCCTAAGAACCGTGGGGGGAGGGTGTGAGGCTCACACAGCCTGTTAGGGGAGGAGCTGACACTGAGGGTGGAGATTGGGTGGCAGTGGGACCAGCAACCCCAGGTGGCCACCCTCTGGAGGGGCACTTCCTGCCCCAAACAATGACAGGAAGGGCCTGGGCCCCCACCCTGCCCACCAGTTCACAGCTAAGAGGCCGATGGCCAGCTTCCCTCGCTCCCTCCCCCAGGACTCAGAGATGGAGACGGAAAAGGCCCAGACTTGAAGCCCAGCCCTTTCTGCCCCTACCAGTTTTCTCTCAGCCTTTTTACTTTAAAAGCCTCTCTGCTCACCTTGTAAGAACGAATGAATCGGACAAATACTGGGAAGAATACAGAAGGAGGTGTGGTCTTGGGACTCTCACCGAAGTAGCGCACAACTGCATTGTAGGCCTCCTGGGGAAGGGTGGGGAGAAGGGTTTAGCCTGGTGGTAAAGAAGCCTAGCTCCACACCAGGGACAGGAGGCCCACAGAAAACAGTGTCCAGCCCATTCGGACTGGAAAGAACCCGGGCTCCCAGAGCTTCCTAGTGTTCATGTAGCAGCTGCCTGCCACCCCAAAGCTCCCTTTCCCCCACACTAAGCCAGCCAGTCGCTTGATAAAAGTTCTTTGATCTAAGAATCAGAACTAAGCCCACCTAGGCCTTAACCCTGGCTGCTCCCACCAGCCTCCACCATGTGCTCACTTCAGCTGTCTTGGCATCACGCTGGAGCTTGTCCAGTTTGCCTTCATTGGCATTGAGGAAGTTCCGAAGGACACTGTTGTCATGTATGCTGCACTCCCGCCGAATCAGCTCCATGCCCCGGCCCAGCTCCTTCACATCTAGCAGCACGTTCTCCAGGGACACTGTGGTCACCAGAACCCAGGCTGAGGCCCAACCAGAGCCTGACATGCCCACCTCCCAGTCCATGGCTACAGTGAACTCCCCCACTCCCTCAGCATGGGCTCACTCAGGTTCTCATGCTCCTGCTTCCTGAACCACTCTGAGCAGATAGACAGGGGCATACCAAGCTAGCTGGGCTCTCATGGGGCAAGGAAAATGGATAGAGGCTGGGAACTTATGACCCTAAGGTAGCAATGGGAAGCAAGACGGAGACTGCTGGTCTCTAAAACAAGGCTGCCTCAGGCCTGTCCCAGAGCTCATGAGTAGGGCAGAAATACCAGCTACCTTATTGTCTGAGATGGGCTTTATGGTTTTTCCAAGCACTTCCCATACATCACAGAGAAATGCAGTCTCTGGGGCCAGCCTGAAGGAATTGGGAGTAAAGAGCCACTGCGGCCTTCCTCGGCCTGCTCCTACTGACCAAGGTGGGAAGGGCTGGGGCAGACCTGGTGCCTGCAGGAAGTCTCCCCCTAGGGTAGCCCCTGCCCATGGCCCCAGCGGAAAGCTTTGAAGTGGTCAGAAAGAAGATAACAAAAGCCAGAAACAAAGAGACTCAAGTATTCCCTCTTCTCATAGCTTCCTGAGATTGTCCTGAGCTGAACATGAAGGCAGACTCGCCCGGCCAGGCTCCCCTCACCTGCTGCAGCCTTCTCCACAAAGTGCAGCTCATGCCAGAAGTTAGCCAGGTCTGGGTATTTCTCCTTCACCGTCAAGGCAATGAAATGCAGTAGTGTCATCTTCCTGTCAGTGGACTTGGTGTCCAGCAGCTGGGAGGTGGGGGCAGGGGACAATGTGAGAGGTGTGAACATCCTGCCTCCATGGCCTCTGCCCCACAGGCTTCCTGGTCCTGTGCTGCCCACCATCTTACCAGATCCAGGCTCTGGAGCTTGAAGCCATACACAGCCCCTCGCTTGCTGCTGTTCATGTAGTTCCCCAGTGCGAGTATGATCTATCCAAAAGATGTGTGGAAGGAGGTCAGGCCAAGCCCTGGGGTTTCTCCTCTGCATAGCCCCAGGCCCCCACCCAGGACCTGGGACCCACCGGCACCCCCATCCGTGACCTCTCCCCACCTCCAACATCTGCTTCAGCTTCTGTGAGGACTTGACAGAGGCGGAGGCTGCAATGATGGCATTAAGTTGCTGAAAAGCAAGATAAAGAGCTGAATAACCCCAGGCTAGGATGAGGCAAAGTCAGTAAGGGGCTGGGAGAACTGGCAAGGCAGGGGAGTGACGCGTGGACAGTGGAAAGGGAGCTGCAGATTTGGGTGGGGGCCCTACCGGCGTGAGCATCTGTAGGTTGTCCTGGAAGTTGCCCAGGAAGGCCATACCAGCCATTCGCTGGGTCAGCCGCTCCACCTTGCTGAAAAGCAGCATGAAGCGGTCTTCGGCCGCCAGCTCCTCCAGGGGCTGCCGCTCCCGCTCATATTGCCGCAGTAGCTTCACCTCTGCCTCTG